ATGATCAGAAGTAGACAGAAGAATCGATGAGATGCGAGGACATACGACTAACTGGTCGTTTAGCATACTGAATTAGCTCGAGTATAGCTCTATGATACTAATATCGACCCGCCGGTGCAATGTAACGCGGGACTATAGTACTAGAGCTAGGCTTCGAGTATAGACTGTAAACTAATAACTAAAGTAGCATACAGAATCTGTGTACACGGTAGCATCGCAGAACAAATAAATGTAACACCAATACTATAGAGCATAACCTACTCTGTTTTTGTTACATTTGTAGCCGAATACTATAGTGTAATATATAAGCCTCGTAGTCGTAACTACACCCCGTACATCTGTTTTTGTTAGCGGCTCTGTGCTGGTGCCTCGAGATCGTAACGTATTTTGCAAGCTACTTGAAGCTAGCAGTACGTCTTGTTTGTACGTTCGTATGCTCTCTAAGGCTCTAATGCATCTCACAATACCAACTTTCCCAAAAATCTTGACATTGTGCAGGAACATTTCCAGGCCAAAACATGTGCATAGCAAATGTGGGCTATACAAACATAATTGCAATAGCAATTGGATAAAGTTTGTATATGGCATTTTTTCCAGACAATCACAGTGCAAAATTTACACCGCATGCATAGCTGAGCGTGTTTATCTGTGTCTGCCTTGTGACAGGCACAGTAGGCTTAAGGCCTTAGGACACACTAGCGATTCTGCACGCTGCTCCGGCCAGCGTTTAACACAGCGTGCGAGCTTGGCACGCGTCGCTCGCCATGTCGAGTGATAATAATATCGGGAACCGGGCGAGTGAAAACGCTAATAGCTGACTCGCACCATGTTGGGCGAGTAAAAAATAATTGTCTAGACACTTTATCAAATGTTGGTTGTTCCTTAACTTTATATAATCCACAACATTGAGAAATTACAGTTCTAGCGATTGTGAAGGGCGCTATCTGACTCCTCGACACACAGACATCCTGAGCAATTTATATATCAAACGGTCGCCGAAGAAAGCAGCCCGCAGAAGCGTGCAGACGCCGAAGCGAGCAATGTACGTGGCTGTGTGTATTACGTGCCCATGGGCGGTCAATATGATTGAATGTACGGGGGGAGAGGGGGGGAGGAGATGGTTGGGCAGCGATGGGTTTCAAAAGTCACTTGCTTATGGCCGTGGTGTTAACAAATCACATAAAATCGGCAAATGAACGTGCATTTCACATGTGACGATGCCGGCAAGAGCAAGCCCGAGAATTACCAAGTAAATTGTAAACATGTATGTTTCCGTTTACAGCTCGCCATGGCTGGCAATCGCACTAACCGAGCGATTTCATGAAAAAAATGATGCGTAGCAAATGGTCTGAAAACTAAGCATACTGAGCGAATTGCGATGCGAATATCCCTGAAAATTATTCCGCGTGTTGTGAAATTGATACTAATAGGCCGTGTAATCACAGTATCACAGAGCTAATGAATACCACTACACTAAGAAATAAAGAATACCACTTGCAGGATCGCTATACGCGATGGACACATACGCTGTGTAAATTCAGAGATAATTGTGTCCGATTTGTCACACACGGTAGGAAAGCGTATCTCGCCTAATTTCGATGGAGAGGCGGTTTGATACATAATTCTAAATTCATCAGAAAACCGCGCTATTGCTCACCTGAGGCACGGATGATGCTCAAAATTTATCTATGCGCATTACTGGACCTTGCACTCTAACATACTGGCTCTCCTCAAACAGCTTGGACATGACATGTGATATGATAATAACCGGGATTGATTGCGGAGTGTCACACACACCACGCCATGAGGCGAAGTGCCAACTAGATCGCGCTATATTCCAAATAATCGCAGTCCAAAAGTGCGTCAGTTGGGAGCGCGACGTGGCCTTCTCAGCGAGCAGCGATCAGCTTAGTGAGATTGCTGCGCTTCAGCACCTTGTAATATATCTCGTATCCTTCGATCGCGATGCAAAAACCGGATTGCCATCCGCTAATTCCCGCCAGTTGTGAACGCGCCTAATGATAGAGCTAGTCACGCTCCGTAGCCCTCGGCGACGGAGGCGAGGGCCCGCCCTGGATGCAATAAAAAAAAAGAAAGAAAAAACGCCGCACATGTGGTTGTTACGTTATGCGTCCTACTGCCAATCAAACAGGCCAGAGCCTGAGTAGGCATTTTGTTCAGCTATAAGACTGCGTCAGGGAAGAGAACGGAGGCGTATGAAAAGAAAACCAAACGAAGACATTTCTACTGAAATAGGTGTTTTTTTCTCCTTTGTATTTTATGCGCAGTTTGAAAATGTTGCAGAGGATTTCTCAAACCTACATAGGTCACTGCACCCAGATCGCTTCCATTTTAGTGTAACCAATTGCAAAAGTCTCCATCGCTGCGGGAGTGGGGACCACCCCTCACTCCAGCAGCCCTAGGCCCGCTGTCCCCGCATCGGCAAGGGAGTAGTTTTGCTATTATGGGATTAGACGTCAATCCGCAATGCTTCCCTCCGCGTCGCCCCTTACAAATCGCTTGCGCGCGCATCAGAACTTGCCCAACATTGAAACAACAACCCCCCCCCCTATCAATATAAAGCTGGCTATCGGGCCTGAGCTAGTAGTAGTAATAGATGTAGTGTGTCATTGTGTTATAACTCGTCAATGGGGCAGTCAGCACAGACTATATTATATTATTTATAGTTTTTCACATGTTGTCAACAGAGGCGTAGCCACGGTAACGGCAAAACAGCAAACGTCAAACAGTAAACGCAAAGCGCGTGGCACTAGCTAGCAGCTGCGGTCTCCTGTCCTGGACACATCTCGTATCCGTGAAGCCGCAGCGGAAACTAGATCGGGTTGTGTTCATATGAGCATTTCATGGGGACTCGCCTCACCCCGCAGTGAGCGTTTATATTTAGCACACACAGTTTTGCTGCGGCCGGCTTCTGCCAGTGGCATACAATAGAGATAACGTAGCGGCGCTCAGAGAGACCGCGCTAAGATGAAGGCGGTGAATCTGTTAGAGTCTTGGATTACACACTACATGACTTCCACGGTAAAATGTGTTTGACAGTGCGCAGCTGTATACGAAAATTGGACCTTGTCACGTGAGACTACAAGCTCTGTTAGAAGACGAACGCGCTTAAAGTCTACAATGCAGGCAAGAAGTACATTAGCTTAACTCGACCTGGCAGTAGGTAATAAATTATGTTTTACTATAAAACGTAAAATGGTGTATAAATTTGCAATCCTTGATGACCAACCAGTAGCGCTATAGGGTATTATTGTATACACTCCTGGTAAATATCATGTTAATGATATATAATCTTATCTATACTAATCAAGCATTGTAATTTGTAAAATCATGCCGCACATACTGGTACTAGACTGAATGTTTACTTAGTGCTACCAGGATAGACCAGGCTAAGTGGCTTGTGTGATTTCAGATTAAACACTATAAGCTTTTTACAGAGAGTGTAGATTCTGTGATACAGTGACATAATAATACCATGTGTCTTGCGACGTGTTTCATGTACGACGTATACGGTACTGTATTATATCGGCTACATTGTTAGCTCTAGAATACTATAGCCCTTCGCCTCTGCACAGCCTGTTCTAGAGCTATTGCTCAATGTTGGCAGTGTTGAAAAAGTCTAACTAGAGTAAAGTAAACTATAAACAGTGTGCGGCCCTTTCGGCGATCACCGGTTGATTGTCACATTTCAATTGTGTGTGTGTTCGCCTATATGGGGTGGGTAATGAATTATCGATATGGATCATTAGAAATTCGCAGCCCAATAACCGGTTGTTGGTGCTGTCATTTCTGATGTGGTAGGATAAGTAGTGCCTAGTTAGTCAAAATGGTTGCACAGTGGACAGATGGATCTGATTGCCCGGCGGAGGTAGGCATTACCCAGGTTTTTGTGTTTACTGGCATGGTATGCCACAAGTCAGCGAGGTGGACTTATATTGATCGGTAACTGTACATAAGCAACGACACTGTTGGAGGTCCTTTGTTATAGTTCTAAGTGGCAATGTCCCTATGATTAGCGACTTGCGAATTCACGTATTATATATTAAAACCACTTACCATAAGGTAGCATAGCTACGTATTACCTAGCACGAAACATATGTCTTGCTTGCTAGTTTTGTATGGTTTGGCCTAATGAAACGAAATAATTGGTCGGTGACAAGTATGGTAAAACGTAACTCTAAACCCTGAACAACATTCGTATTGTCTGCCAGTCTGTCTGTCCGTCTGCCTGTGTTTCTGTCTATTCCACTCAATGTCATGTATGCGTCGTGTGTAACTCTCACTCAATCACGGTACATACCGTTAGATTGTTTCCCGCATGAGACCTGCAAATAGGAAACTGGTTCTGACACTTATTTAGCCTATTTTTAAAAATGAAAATAGAAAAAAAAAATGGTTTCCTGATCTGCTATTTTGTTTTCCCATTGAACGTTCGG